CTACAGGCGCCCGCCACCTCGCCCGGCTAGTTTTTTGTATTTTTTTAGTAGAGACGGGGTTTCACCGTGTTAGCCAGGATGGTCTCAATCTCCTGATCTCGTGCTCCGCCCGTCATAGCCTCCCAAAGTGCTGGGATTACAGGCTTGAGCCACCGCGCCCGGCAGCAAATTTTAATTAAATAAAATTTAAAATTCCATTCCTCAGTCTCACTAGCTATTTCCTGTGTCAAACGATCACACAAGGCCAGGGACCATTGTATTTAACACTGAAGATTACAGACCATTTACATCTGCAGAGAAAGTTCTATCGGATGGCGTTATCCTAGGAAATTAGCTTTCACGCAGTACACCAAGATGGACCAAACAGACTAACCTCTACAATTCACAAGTCACTTTCAGAGGGGATGTCAAAACTTCTCAGAAGCCCTAGGAACACTCCCCTGCGGTGGCCACCTTGTTTTGCTAGGCTCCAATTCCTGAAAACAAAGCCAGCAATCTGGGCTTCTCAATGTTTAACCTGCAGGCTACATCTCCAGTCAGAATTTGGCAACCACTCTCAAATTTTCCACTTTTTAGTTCACCAGAAAATGACTAATTAAAGAATAGGAAGATGCCCACCACCATCAAGGGAAGGCCCTGAACCTATACCCTAAACCCAAGTCCCCACCCCCACCTCACTCCAGAAAAACAATCCTAAAGGCTGTTGTACCGGTAAAATCAACCATATAAACAAAGGGAGGAAATCTTTTATCTCCAAAATCAGAGTGAGCAAGGAAGCCACACAGAATAAAAAAGCCCAGGAAACCGTAGCCATAAAGGCCCTCTGAGAAGGTGGCTACTTCCCAGCCAATCCAATTGGCTCATAACTACCATGAATATAGCTTCTTGGTTTATACTGAATTCAAATCCAATACTTTATTTGACAATCCCAAAACACTGGGCTTTATTATTGTAATTTTTTTTTTTTTTTTTGAGACAGTGAGATGGGGTTTCACTCTATCGCCCAGGCTGAAGTACAGTTGGGCAATCTCAGCTCACCTCCCCCCGCCCGGCGGGATGCTCAAGCAATCCTCCCACCTCAGCCTCCCACACAGCTGGGATTACGACGCCCAGCTAATTTTTTTAATTTTTGTAGGGACAGGGTCTTGCCAAGTTGCCGAAACTGGTCTCAAACTCCTGAACTCAAGCAATCCACCCACCTTGGCCTCCCAAAGTGCTGGGATTACAGACAGGAGCCACCATGCTCAGCTATTATTTTAACTTTATTTACCAGGAAAGATTAAGCATGTTTGGGAGAAAATCTGTCAAATCCAGATAGTCAAGAATTGTACTGCCAAGAATTCACCCAACCAAGCTGCACCCAAAAGCATGCTGAGATATACAAGGGAAGCTCTTTAGCAATGTGGATAGTAGGGACGAAAGGTCATGGAGAGACCAGGAACAGTGGCTCACGCCTATAATCCCAGCACTTTGGGAGGCTGAGGTAGGTGGATCACTTGAGGTCAGTAGTTCGAGACTAGCCTGGCCAACATGGCAAAACCCCATCTCTACTAAAAATACAAAAATTAGCCGGGCATGGTGGCACACGCCTGTATTCCCAGCTACTTGGGAGGCTGAGGCAGGAGAATCGCTTGAACCCAGGAGGCAGAGGTTGCAGTG